AATTATGAGCCTAACTGACAAAAATATAATTTCTGTAGTCGCTCTAAAAGGAAGAATAACAAATCTCTACATTTCACCCAAGAATGCAATAGAGAAAATTTTTATAGATAATAATTAGGTAAAGAGAAACCCACACTGATCTTAGATTCATTAATTGATTCATTATTCGATTTATTCAATTAGAAAAATGAATATAATGGAATAATGAGTGATTTTAAAGAGTGCCCAGGAGCCATGCAAGCTGACTTACCAGGTATGTTCATCTCTTTCAGTCATGATCTGCTGGCCCTGGCCACGTTCTGGTTAGATTTATAAGCTGATTTAGGTGAGTTCACAACTTACAGAGCTTCCCTTGGATTGTTCTAATTTCCACAGATACAATACACATTGCTGTTCATTAGGTCTGCTCACCAACCTTAGAATAACTATTGTCCACATAGTCATAAACTATGGCTTAAAAGAAAGCACATTGCCAAAAGGAAATGATTGCTTGTAACATGTTCAGTACTTACAAAAGAAGACACACAATAATTCATTGCACAGCCTAGAGATACATAAGTCATTAAGTCATCAAACACAGTATGATGTATGTTAGTGCTTTTGAGACCGTGAGTTGTAATTTTTCGTAGATTTAAACAGTTATAGGCTATTTTTATCAATTTATTTTATTTATTCTCATTACAAGTGTGAGTATATGTGAGTATATGTGTGTTTGTGTGACCTAAGTTATGATGTAAAAAATACTTCTTACTATAGCTAATGGTAAAAAGTTTGAAAAACAATTCTGTACAGAAAAAAACCACCCAGGGAATGTGGATCCAGTCCACTGCCAATAGTTAATACATACACCTTTCAGGCATGGCTTACATGTTTAGGACCTTACTTAGCTTGCTGTGTTGTGAGGATTAATAAGTCCAGTGTGTGTGACCACACTTTATTAGGTGCAATGTTTAATGTTAGGTTAGTTATTTTCATGAAATACAGTGTCCTGTTTAAGAGTCTACATCTTCTAAACAATTTCTTCAGGTTGATCCCAAATATTAACTGTGTCCTCATCCATCAGAAGTCTAGGTAGGGTTGAATTTTCTTCACTTTTTTTCCCTAAATTACTCAGATCACTTGGCTTGGATGTGATGTTAATGTTTTTACAGTTTTTAGGCCAGTACACATATATTTTAACAAATGAAAATTCCCACTAATGCAAGCACTACTCCTGGATTATTCTTCAGAAACATTTCTGTGTTTTAATTTATAATGATGTTTGTTAGTACTAAAAAGTCTCAAGTTATTTGCAAAGAGTTTAGTATGCAACTAACAAACTTTATGCAACTTTGCATAAAGTGGTCACAACACGCATGGAGTTGTGCAAAAATATTAGATCAGTCAGATAAATTTTGGCAGTTGTTATGGAAAATGGACGGAAGACTAAAACTCCTAAAAAACAATCTGCCTCCACAGTTTTATAGAAAATATCCCTTGATCACAAAGGAAAAATTAATACAATTATTGTTGGTGCCAAGATCCAATTTTCTTTTATTTATATTTTCTCAGGATAGTATTTCTTGAGTTTACTGTATAGTAAAAGTATAGTAATATTAGTTCTACATAGAAATGGAAGAGGCAGTAACTTTCCATTATGATTTTTAAAGAATCCCAAGGCTCTTGTCTTCAAATATTTCGTCCACCCTAGTTTAGCAAAGTATAGACTTTATATCTGGCCTAACTTTGACTATGTTGAAGTTCCTCATTTGGTTTAAACAGTCAAAACATTGTATCAACATATATTGTTTCATTCACTCATTCAGTCAGTAAATATTTATTGAGTTCCCTCTATGTATTAAACACTCTATAGATGCCTCAAATAAACACTGAACAATGACATCCAATAACTTGCTGTAATGAAACTTATGTGGAGACTTAAAAACTTGGTTGAAAAATGGAATGAAAAGGTAAAAATAAAAAATATAAACTTTATTTTTCAACATAAGTGCATCAAATTCAAGATATTTTCATAACCATGAATACCAGCCATTTAGTTGATCCCTAAAGAATAAGGGTACTGGGAATTTAACCATGTCAGTGTAGTCTTTTTTCACATTGTTAACAGAAGGAAAATGGGAGCCCTATAAAGATTTTTTTTTTTTCAGATTAAGAAACAAAAAGAAGTCAGAAGAGGCAAATCAGGACTGTAAGGTGGAAGCCTAATGAAACCCCATTGAAACGCTCACAAAATTGCCCTTGTTTCATGAGGGAATTGAGCAGTATTGTGGTGGAGGTAGACTCTTGCATGAAGCTTTCCCAGGCATTTTTCTACTAAAGTTTTGGCTGATTTCTCAAAATATTCTCATAGTAAGCAGATGTTATCATTCTTTGTCCCCCTGGCAAGTCAACAAGCAAAATGCCTTGAGCATCCCCAGAATCTTTTGCCATGACCTTTGCTTTTGACCGGTTCACTTTTGCTTTGACGTGGCCACATCCACCTCTTGGTAGCCATGGTATTGATTGTGCTTTTTCTCCAGCATTATACTGCCAAAGCCGTGTTTCATCTCCTGTTTAGAGTTCTTCAAAGAAGTGCTTCAGGATCTTGATCGCGCTTGTTTAAAATTTCCATTGAAAGCTTTGCTCTTGTCTGAAGCTGATGTGGGTGCAAGAGTTTGGGGACCCATCAATCTGAAAGGTTGCTCAACTTTAACTTTTGAGTCAGAACTGTGTAAGTTGAACCAATTCAGATGATTATGGTGTTGGCTATTGTTTCTGTTGTTGATTATCAGTCCTCTTCAATTAGGGCTTGAATAAAATTAATCTTTTTTCACAAATTAACTAGATCATCTGTCTCTGTGGGCTTCCTCTTCAAGATCATCTTGTCCCTTCTTAAAATGAGTTATTGAGTTATAAACTGCTGATTTCTCTGGGGCATTGTCCCTATAAACTTTATGTAAAGAATCAATGATTTTACCATTCTTCTATCTGAGCTCCAACCTAAATTTAATGTTTGTTCTTGCTTCAATTTTAGAATTCATATTGCTCTGATGAAGGTACTTTTTAAACTGATTTTTTATCATTCTCAATTCTTCAAACTGGATTCTGCTCAGACAGGTTATAATAAGATAGTATGAGCTTATTTTGATGCAAAAATTTTGCAATCCATGCATAATTTTTTTTTTTTTTTTGTCTTTTGTCTTTTTTCCGTGTTCGGCAATGGATCGCAACCCTCAGTGTTGCCCCCCTACCGGACCGGGGACCGGCAACGGGATTGCAGCCCTCGGTGTTGCTCCCGCACCTCGCTCAGCCAGTGAGCGGGAACCGGTCTGTATGTGGGATCCAAACCCTCAGGCGGGAGCGCCGCCGCGCTTCCCAAGCGGCACACTATCCAGTGTGCCACCGGGCCGGCCCCATGCATAAATTTTTTATAATACATATTTTCTATGAACTTTTGGAAGACCCCTTGTATATTCTGATAGAGAAAAAATAGATTTGTTCTTATTCCCATTGTCCTAATGAATCTGGTTCCAGAATGATTGAAATACTATTTAAATAATTTAGAATAGTTCAAGCTCATGTCTGTCAAAATTAAGTTTTGCATCTCTTTGTTTTTAACAGAGAGCCTAGACATTTGGAAGTATAAGTCCAGGAAGACTTCTGACCATGGTCTTATTTTGCAAGCAATTGCTTTATTCACTCATACTTCACAATTAGCAGCAGATAAAACAACTTAATCCTTCTAGAAAACATAGGGGAAACACTACAAAAAATGGGAGCAGGCAGCATTGTTTTGAACAAGACTGCAAAGGCACAGGCGACTAATGTAAAAATAGATAAACAGGCCTACCTCAGATTACAAAGCTTCTCCACAGCAAAGGATACAACCATCAAAGTGAAGAGACAACTTGCAGAATGAGAGAAAGTGTTTGCAAACTACACATCAGACAAAAGGCTAACATCTAGAATACATAAAGAACTCAAACAACTCAACAGGAAAAAAAGAACCCAATTAAAAAATGGGCAAAGGACCTGAACAGACATTTCTCAAAAGAAGATATACAGACGACTGAAGAGACATGATAATATGCTGAACATTACTACTCCTCATAGAAATGCAAATTGAAACCACAATGAG